CCTGGGATTTTTTTTTGGATTGCATGTAATGGACATAAAACAAAATAGTCTAACATGGAGAAGTAAAATAAAAAAATCAATAATTAAAATTGTAAAAAATAAAAATCTTAAAAGTTGTGCGTGCATACAGTATGTATCCACACTCTTTGCTATGAAGCCCCTGCATAAGATCCGGTGCAACCAATTACCTTCATAAGTCACATAATTAGTAACAAAAAAAAAACACTTTTGTATAATCTGAGTGTCACATGATCTCAGTATATATACACACCTGTTCTGAAAGGCCCCAGAGTCTACAACACCGAATAAGCGGCACCATGAAGACCAAGGAGGTCTCAGGTCTCCAAAGTTTTAGAGAAGTACAGATCAGGGTTTGGTTATAAAAAAAAAATATCCAAAACTGCAGCATTAAATCCATTATTTAAAATTTTTTTAAGAAAATGGCACCACAGCAAACCTGCCAAGAGAGGGCCGCCCACCAAAACTCACGGACCAGGCAAGGAGGGCATTAATCAGAGAGGCAACAACATTTAACTAACCCCATCTGTATCAATTTCCAAGGTATTTGCCACTTGCCCCTACATCTCATCTCTGTTGCCTGTATGGGCTTGCATATGGGTTGTATAGGTTTCTGCTATACAGATATATATGTATAGTTCATTTAAACCATTTTGATTGTATTTTTTGGGTTTGTGTGAATTACATAAATTGTACAGTAGTACCTTAATCATCAAACTTTGACATTTTAACTAGAACCTAAAAATTTTACTTCTGCACACATACCTATGATACATCTCATTTGTTTTCTCATAGGTGGGATTGATTGGGTCTTCGTAGCCAACCTCTGCTGCACGACTTCTTTCTTGCTGCATGTAGGCTCCTCTGACAAGTTTGGCTCCAAAATGCCAGCCCTCTCGTAGAGACAACTCTATATCAGCTGTCACATTGTCATAAGCATCCTAAATTAAAAAGGCTCAAAATTAATTTTTAGGTCATGCAGCATATTTACAGTCTTAATAACAGATCATTATATGAGGACTGCTACATTAAGAGTGTTTGTTGCAGTGCATACTTTACTACATCTAGTACAATAATTCCTACTGATGTATACAATAAAAGGGGTAAGGTACAAAGTTCAGTAAATAATATTACATCTTTCTGCCACGGGTTACTGTAGATTGCACTTCAGCTTTGGTTTTTTCCATTACCCGAATAAGCCGATAAAGCGTGGAAGACTAAACTCTAACCAGATATCTGTTGATATCCAAGGTAAGTAGGCAACTGGAACTCTAGGACTCTCTGCCCATTTTGCTAGTTGGGAGATATCACTTTCTGAAAATTAGGGATGCACCGATACTAGTATCGATATCGGTGCCGATTCCGAGTATTTGGGCAAGTACTCGTACTCGCCCAAATGCTCCGATGCCTAGCACGAGTACTTCCAGTATCAGGAAGCCGGGCAGCGCGTCATTACACGCTGCCCGGTTTCGCGATTGACCGGAAGCTGGCCTCGTGAGGTAAGGTTACCTTACCTTAGTATGTGTAGCCTGTCATCCCCCAGGGCCTCTCCAGCGAGAATGCGGCCCTCGTCCGGTACCCAGCCCGAGCCGTCCAATCAGGAAGCCGGGCGCCGTCTAATGACGCGACGCCCTGCTTTCCGATTGGCCGGGAAGCTGACTTCATGCTCCCTCGTCATCTCATGACGAGAGCATGGAGCCGGCCTCCCGGCCAATCAGAAAGCAGGGCGTTGCGTCATTACACGGCTCCCTGATTGGCCGGCTAGACGGCTCCGGCTGGGTACCGGACGAAGGCCGCGTTCTCGCTGGAGGAGCCCTGGGGGATGACAGGCTGCACATACTAAGGTAAGGGGGGACTTTTTTGATAATCGGGAAGCCGGGTGGCGACTCTTTACACGCTGCCCGGATTCCTCGGCGAGTAGCGAAAAAAAATTATCGGTACTCGTACTCGGCACCAAAATACCGGTATCGGTGCATCCCTAATGAAAATGGTAAACTTTGCAGGGTCTCTGTGTGCTGCAGACATTGCCTGTACTTTTAACCCTTTAGCTGCCACCGATGCAAGGCTTGCGTTGGCGGCAGTGGGCCCGTTTAAACAGACTCCCTGCAGGTACTCTGTTTAAAATTGTAAAGCTGGCTGTCGCCGCCCCCCCGACAGCCCCACCTGTGGACCCAGGAAGAAGAGTACCGGCGGGAAGCTGGGGAGGAAAGCGATCTTCCCTTAACCAATCTCCTCCCCATTTCATTAAGCTATTGAATTTTTTCGCAGTTTCACCGACGCACACAATTTTTAACCTGGGCATGTTGGCTATATATTTACTCTTCGTAACCTCATCTTCTGTATTTTACAAAACAATTGGTATTATATTTTGGTCTGGAGCGTTAAAATTAATTTAAGTGCTATTTTCACTGAATGTTTGGGTTCGATGAAGAGTTGCGTTGCGGTGTTTGGAGAGGCAGCGAAGGGGTTAAAACGTGCAGATGTTAAATTGTCAAACCAATCAATAACACGCTTTATAAATTGTATATGTTACATAATATATTATATAGAATATATCTTCCAAAGAGTGAAGTGGTATGAACATGCCTTATCTGAGGCTGTATAATTTAACCTGTCTGCTAAGGAATGCTATTGATTGGATCAGGGGTTCCTCCCACCACACAAACTAGGTACAAGAGACAGATGGTAAATCCCTAAAATCTCCCTGAAATTCTACATTACTCTATACTCAAAACTACCTTCAAGTCTTAAAAACATTGTTTTAATTAGAGATAAAGTAATGCATTAGTCTCCATATTTTTCCAGGTATATTCCCATTAAAAACAATCCATTATTTTCCCAGGGAGAGGACTAGAACGCTTTTTGAAGAACTCCAGGGGAGCTACCCCAGCACTGCAAGAGTTAAGTGCTCGTTTGTGTCTAGGTGCTAAAGGGACGGCTTGTTATTAAGACCAGTGTCTAGAATGTCTCTCCCGGTCTAAGGATCCTGGTGTCATCATGCTCTATACGCTGTGCATAGATGCGGGGACCCCGAGGAGCAACCCAACTATGCAGTGGAGGAGACACGCTTCTGTGATCACAGAAGCAGGGAGCTTGCTCGTATGGTCAGGCGAGTATAACTTTGGTTATTTTTGTCCGTAGACACAAACAAGCACTTAACCCTTTGTGTGGGGGTAGCCCCAATGCAAGGGTTAATAATTTAACTGGAGTTCTTCTTTAAACACAGGACAGCCCAAGGTTTAATCTAATTTTCATACTCTTTCTACTGAAGATACTTCTAGACCCCTTACTTTTCAGGAATTGTGCTCCAAACTTCACACATTTCCCAGGGACTTTCTACATTACTCCCAGATTTTGGAATATTATTAGCAAGGACCCCACACCCAACTTGGAATCCACTATTCCAGACAGATTAGTAAACATGCATTGATTTCAGTAAGAACGCTATATCAAGCCATGCACAACATCCATATTCTTCCTTTAGAAAAATCACATGCAGTGAAATGCGATTTTACAACTGATGACATAGGAAAGAAATGGATAGATGGATATTAGGCAATACAAAAAGTTATGAACAATGAATCTTGGAGAGAAAACACAATACAAACTTTTACATAGAAGCTATTTAGCTTTCCAAATTAAAAATCCAACCACCCACTCTGCTGGACATCTCCTGCTCGAAGTGTGAAGAACTAGATACTAGGGATGCACCGATACCTATATACTTGGTACAAGAACAGATACTTTTCGAGCTCCAAGACTAGACAAGAGAAAAATTCAAAAATTAGGAGGCAGCTGTCATTTGTAAGGAGCACACGGAGCTATGGGATTTGTACATCTCTGTTTTAATGTATGATTTTGTTTTTATAAATATAAATAATGGGATGCACCAAATACCATTTTTGCAAGTACAAGTACCGATACTTGCCCAAGTACTTACAAATACTGATAGATTTTTGTTTAGTGTCATGTGACAGTTTTTCTAAAACAATACAGACTAATGATTTCAGGACATTGGTGGAGCGCCAGAGCCGGGTCCCAGCTGCAACCCTGGTAGTTCTCATGAAAATGCCAAGTATTGGCACTGGTACTCGAAAAGTATCTGTGCATCCCTAGTAGATACCTCAACTTTTGCATTGTCTGTGTAGTTGCCCTAAGATCTATGTATTCTAGATCTCGTGTTAATCATCTATTCTATTGCATATATCCAGCCTGTGCATATTAAACACAGAATAACCAGCAGACATATATTTCCAGGTCTGTATTAACTAGTGGTGGTCAGAATAGACTGAGGTGGATACTTTTCATGTGTTACACAAAGTGTGTTATGTGCTCATAAAAAAAGCAATTCAGGTAAAAGGCCTAAAGTAAATGCAGACATTTCTTTTGATCAGACAGCTGAATGTATTCTGGAATTTGCATCAAAGTAATCCTAGTGCATGCCAGCTTGTAAATTCTGTGCCGTTATGTGTGGAGCAGTAATCATTATTGCTCTGGAGCCTCTCACCTTTAAGTAGCACTGGTACGTGTTGAAGATAATGGGATTGTCCTTGTTAAATTTACGCTGCATTTCCAATGTCAGACGACTGATTGCAGGTTGGAAATAGGTCTGTTCTGCATCAACCATCAAGCGAACACCTGTTTTCAAGGCTTTCTAAAACACAAATTACAAGGTACAATAAAAAGGCTCTGCATGTGTCATTGTAATAACAGAAAAGAAACTGGGCTAAAAGATCACAAACGAGAAAAAGTACAACACACAATATATCCTCATATAGACTAAGTGAAAAGTCTGCACACCAAAATGGATATCACCAGAACTCCAGATTATAAAGTTGTCTTCAAATGTAAAAATAATGCCTTGTTTAATGCATTTTTTGCTATGCAGTGGGTTACAAAATTAATGATATCAATGACCTATGTGTAACTGATCCTGCTTAGATCTGGAACACTTGTAATGTTGCTAGCCATCACTAGACAGAACAGCTTATTTGGCCTCAATAGACTAATGTTCTTCAACAAGGTTGGAAAATGTTTACCAACCAATGTTTGAGCAGGGAGCTTAAAGTGTAATATTCACTTTTGCAGCCAAATTGGGATAACACCTATATTATATTTGTAACATGCTTCCATTCACACGGCATTAGCGAAAAAAAATATTTAAAAAAATGCTTCTTGCAGTTTACATTACATTTTTACTTGAGTGAGGGTTTCTTGTCTTCTTAAAAGGTTAAAATTTCGACTTGCTTCTCATTCTTTTATAATGTTAGGAGGGGTTGTGAGGGGGCTTTTCCACTGTAGCTCCCCTGTTAGTGAGAGAAAAACAATCCTCAAATGTCAGTCCTAAGTCTTTCTATAAGGACAGGTCACAGTGAAGGATCTGAGAAAAACCTGATTCAGCCATGTTGCCTGCTGAAACAAAACATCTAAAAAAGGTAACAAATATTTTTTTGTATGCTTTGTGAATGGGAACACATTACAAACATTTAGAGCAGTTTTCTCAAATCTGATTGCAAAAGTGGAAATACACTTTAAACCCTATTCAGAGTCCAACTGCAGTAAACCATTAAGACCTGTAGAAGGTATGTGCTTGTTTTTGAACATTAACTTGGCAGCATGAGTTTGTTCTAAAGCATAAAACACCGCTCCTGACCAGCTCAGCAGCAGATGTGATCTATAGTAGGTTAGTAATCAAAGGTGTATTACAAATTTTGTGTTTCTCAGCTCTCCAAGATCTTGGCAAACTGCTGTCTGAAAGACATTGCTCCATGATGGATCAATCCAGCTACCCGACAGAAAGTTTTAAAACCAAAATGTGTGCCAAGAGGGGGTCATTTGGGGCAAGTATTAACATGTGCTTGTGACATAAAGAAGTTCTAATTCACATAAATTAAAATGCCAACAAACAGCTTAAATCGAACTGCCTACGATTTCGCTAAATTAAACAAGTAATTTCTTTTATCTCCAGAAGGCCCACACAATGTATGGATGAAGTACAATTATTGTGTGTTAATTACATTTTCTTCAAATAAACATGCTACTTGAACCTAGATTAACAAATGTTATCCAGCACTAGTGGGATGACTATAGCCAAAGCAGCCCACATCACTGCTACTGGGCATGGACGGGCAGACATATCACACACACACACACACCTTTGCAGAGGGCAGAATAGTAAAATGAAAGTTAAAGTGACATTAAACCCTCAGATTTTTTAACATAAAACAATACTGTAATGTGCGCCTTACTGTAATCCATGGTTGTTTCCCTTCTCTTTGCTGCTCTTCCTTTTAAATCTGTATCTGTTCTCATGCTCTGCAGAACTTCTGTTTTGCAGCAGACTGCCTTGTCTCAGGAATGGATACACGGTGTCTGTGTATAGGTTTGTATAGGCTTGTAACCTGAGCCAGCACTACAGGAAGAGGCCCTGAGCTGAAAAGGGAAGTTCTCCCCAGCATGAGAAGACATGGGGATTTAAAAGGAAGAGCAGCAAAGAGAAGGGAAACAACCATGGATTACAGTAAGGCACACATTACAGTATTGGTTTAAGTTAAAAAATCTGGAGGGTTTAATGTCACTTTAAGTTGAACTTTTAAAAATGATGACAGGCAGGCTCAATATGACAGAAGAGACTGTGCAAGTCTATTCCATCATACATCCTCCTATCTGCCTGTCAGAACTTTTTCTGTGAACTGAAGCACACCATGCACAGCACGATTCACTTGGCAGAATTCCTTGCTGAGATTCCGCACTCAGAAGACTGGGACATAGATGGAAGCGTGGAGAGGGAAGGGAGCGAAAGCCTCACATTGCTGGAAGGGATTGCTTTGGCAGGTTAGTCCGCCTCAATGTGCTAATATGTTGTACATACTAGCATATTATGAATAAAAAGCTCCTGGGGGCTTTTTTTGTTTGTTTTTAAAGTACTCTATTTACACTAAGTTTAAATATAAAATTTACTGGCAACATATAGCCACAGCACTGGTCCCTACTAGGTTGCTGACAGATATCCTTATACCGGTCCTTGATTTAGGTATTTTTTCTTAAAATCAGTGATCGTGTTAGTTGACACTGCAAGGTGCATCTCTCCAGCACTCTGGGAAATCTCCATGTGTGAAAAAGCATAGCCATTAACACTGGAGGTACATTTTTTTGCACCCACAACACCTCCCATAGCATGACAAGCCTCCCAATCATCCCAAGGGATGCTTGTACTGACTACATACAACTGGCTGTGTTTGGGCATCCTTATTACAGAATAACATTCAATTTTACAGGAAATAAAAGTAACACACCTCTTGTAATTACCATAGCAAGCTAAAGGCTTTTCTTCTCTGTGAAGGTGAAAATAAAGTACCTGCTCTTAATCAATTTGGTTTTAAGAAGCAATAAAAGCCTCTTTAAAGTTGCTGATAACGTATGGCACAGACAAGTGGCTGATATTGTTTTTTTTAATCAAACTTCAAAAGAATGTGTTTGTTTGCACTTCATTATGAAATATTACATTTCAGCACTAATGCATTTATTTAAATGAGTGCTTAATAAGGGAATTCAAAGACTTCCTGATAAAAAATTGCATTTCTAAGGGCTGTTCCTACCCTTTTGGATGTGTGAAATATTGTACCGTTGATTTACCACAAACTCTTCTCAGACAAGCTGGCTTTAAATATTCATGAGATTTGTGGAGTCATGCAATGCCAGTTACTGGCCATATGGGTCATTTTTACATCTATTTACACACACACAAATATAAGAAAGCATGTTTTTTTTCAGATGTTTATGTGCCATGTTTTTGGACTTCAAAGTCAAGTATTTCTTCTAGTTTAGATGTAAATTATGTATGCTCTCGTTATGACTCCTGCAGTAACTCAGAATAGAAAACTGGTGGAATCAATCACCTCAAGGCATTTCGTAGAGCTAGGATACCAATAAGCTGTGGTCAATGTTGCTTTATAATGTTTCTTCAAATAATACCCATTGCCATTTTAGCTTACATTACAAAAACTAAAAATAATGTATTAAACTTTAGCATACTGCAGGAGAAAGTGACAATTAACCTCAAAAATATATAAAACTTCAGTCTCCACTATATTTATTTTGGACAGCTACCTTGTTTAGATCTGATTTTTCATTAAAATGACCTTCTTATTCTTAGCATATATAGTTTCTGGTAACATTATCCTTGACAACAGCCTCTATAGCAAAAGAAATGGAACGCATCTCTTTAATGGCCAGAGGTCAACAGTCAACTAAAGCATTAATTCAATACATGGCCTCACCTGACCGTGCTGCATACTGCCAATACACCTTTGACTCCCTTTCACATATTTCTTCTGTCCCCTTGGAATGCACCATTTCCAGCTCTTGATACATTGACAAGTTTACACTTTCCGACCATATTTATTCCATCTTTTCTTCTGTAAGAACCTCCACCTCCCTCCAGTTTTATTGTTTTATGAGCCTATTGAGGTTCTCTTTCTGCCTTTGTATTTTATTCCTTGCCGTTATATATTGTTTTTTTATTTCTCTACTGCATCCTCTACATGCCTTGCCCATACACATCGTATGTAGACATATGTGATTCTTTTATGGAACTCAGTCTGCCTCCATGATGTCTTTTTTGATGTGTTTCCATTACTGATTTCCAATTCATAGATGTTTTATAATGCATGTTGTATTGTATTGTACTATTGAACATTTCAATAGTACAATAGTAGTACAACAGTACAACAATGTATATGCTTAAAAAAAATAATAAATTTAGTTTTAGGAAGTGGTGTGACAAACATTAAATTATGTCAGTTATTAAATTAGTGATGTGTGAGGAGATTGAAGAGGTGAGGTGAGGAGTAGAGTGATAGATTTTGGTTTCATTAACATAATGGAGATGGTATTGGAAACCATGGGAGGTTTATCAACTAACCAAGGGAGGAGGTGTAAACAGGCCCGGATTCCCCACAAGGCCACCGAGGTCCGGCCTCAGGGCGCAGAGGGGCGGCAGCGGTGTCCTTGTGGGGAAGTTGCCCTCTCTACATTCAGTCCTGCTTTGTACAAGCAGGACTGAATGTAGAGTGAGGCAGACGATTTTTCGTTTACATGTGAAATCACCGATTTCACATATAAACAGTGTGCAGCCTTCTCCCCCTCCCCCTGCACTTACCTCTCTCCTTTGGTTCCGTCCTCCGCCGCCGAGTCCCGAGTCTCTGACTGCAGTGAGCAGAGCGGCAGGGTTATAAGTAACCCTGCCGCTCCGTGCAGACTGTAGACAGTGAGAGGGGAGAGCTGTGCTCTTCCTCTCACCTGTCACAGGAGTTCCAGCATAGTACTGTGCTAGCACTCCTGTATTGGAGGTGACAGGGTCAATAAAAGAGAACCTGTCACCTCCAATTGCTATTACACAGGGGATTGTTTTCTCCTGTGTGATAGCAATAAAGTTAGGTGAAAAAAAAAATTAAAATTGATAAATTTAAATAAAAATATATTTTTTTAAATGAAATAAAATAAAAAAAAGGTAATTAAAAAGTAAAAAAGAAACAAATTAATAAAAAATAAGAAAATAATTATAAAAAATAAAACAATAAGATAAAAAATTATAAAAAAGTAAATAAGATAAATAAAATCTAAAAATAAAATTGATTAAAAAAAAAAAATAATGAAATAAATAAAAATAAACAGCAGGGAGAGTAAATCCGGCCCTGGGTGTAAATAGGAAATAGAAAGGGTCTAAGTACAGAGCTTGGGATACCACTACAGTAAGAGGAAGAGAAGAGGAGGAGATAGGGTTGTAGACAACAATGAATGAGCACTTAGATAGGTAGGAGAAAAGCCCTGAAAGAGACAAGTCTTGGGAGACCAAGGGAGTGGAGTTTTGTTTGAAGGAGAGGGTGGTCAACTGTAATAAAAAGGCAGCAGAAAGGTTTAATTGTAGAAGCACAGAGTGGCATTAATTGGTTTTAGTAGGGCAGTTTCTGTGGAGTGTTGCAAGTGAAAGCCAGACTGTAAGAGGTCAAGAAGCTTGCCGTCAGTAAGGCAGTGGCACAGACAACTGCAGACTAAAAATTCTAGAAGTTTAGAGGTAAATGGGAGCAAGGACATGGGTCTTAGGTTGATCATACTGGTAAGATTAAGCAAGGGCTTTTAAAATATGGGTGTAACCAGTACATGTTTAAAGGCCCCATTCACAGCGATTTATCGAGTGATTTTTGTATGATATCGCTCATATTTCCACGTGACTGTAAAGCCGACTGTCGGCTTTACAGTAGAAGCGATTCTGGCGGCACAGCTGCCGCCAGATCGCTTATACCCCCCCC